GCCTTCGGTGAAATGCCTGTTCACACTCCGGCCGTTTGGATGCCTTCGGTGAAATGCCTGTTCACACTCCGGCCGTTTGGATGCCTTCGGTGAGGCGCCTGTTCACACTCCCGGCCGTTTGGATGCCTTCGGTGAGGCACCTGTTCACACTCCGGCCGTTTGGATGCTTTCGGTGAGGCGCCTGTTCACACTCCCAGCCATTTATCTACTTGGCTGTTTGTCCTTTTGGAACCAGGGCTCTTTGGCCCAGAGACAAGCCCTGGCTGTGGAGTCGACGTGGTACCTCTTTCTACGCGTGGCCTGCCTTTTTTACCTGAAACAACTGGTATCCTGGTTTAGCCATTCTGCTCGGAAGCCACTCGCAGGGTCCTGTTGCCTGACAGCTGGGCGTGGCAGCCACTCTGGGTGCTGCTGAAGGGAGAGATGGACCCTCCCCTCTTAGCCTGAAGCCATAAGTGGGCCTGGTGACCAGAGTTGTGTCCTGGATGGGGGACTGGCAGCTTTTGGCCTGTGGCCTGCTACCCACCCCAGGACAGATGCAGGAAGCAGCCTGGCCTACTCCTGGCTTGCTCTCTTCCTGTTTCACTTGGGTGTTAGACTCCGAGTTCTCTTTCTGTTTACTTTCTTATTATTTTCTGACATGGGATCTTGCTCTGTTGCGCAGGCTGGTGTGCAGCGGCAAATCATAGTTTATTGTAGTCTCCACCTCCTGGGCTCAAGTGATCCTCCCACCTCGGCCTCCAAAGTAGCTAGCACCACAGGTGTGCACCACCATACTCAGCTAATTTTTTAAAATTCCTTTTTTTGTAGAGATGAGGGCCTCTCAATCGACAGTCTCTCCCTGTGTTGCCCAGGCTAATCTTGAACTTCCGGGCTCATGTGGTCAACCTGCCGTGGCCTCCCAAAGTGCTTGGATTCTAGGTGTGAGCGACGTCGCCCGGCCTCCCTTTAATTCTGATGTCAGCGGTTACCCTTCTCTTTCCGACCTCCTTCGCCTGATTCCTTACAGCTGTCGTTTGCGCAGTGATCAAGCAGCCCTTTATAAAGTAGCTCTTGCTTCTTCCTTAAAAGTCGCTCTGCCAGAGTTTTGGAAGGAAGTGGAATTAACTGTGTTGTTAAGCTGCTGCTTTTAATTAGTGGTTTCATTGGCCTGTCTTATTTTTAAAATAAGAAAACTATCCAACAAATGAAAACTTCCGTTAAAGATGACTGAGGTGTCAGAACGCTTAGGAAAGGATTAGAACGTTTCGATTGTCAGTCATGAAACAAGGGAGGGGCTGCTACTGTCACCTCTGACATGAACACAGCAGCCTTGACTGTTCCTGCTGATTGTGTAAGAACCAGAAAGAAACATTCATATTTTAAAAGACAAAGGAGAAGAGTTTGCTGAGAATATACTCATCCATCTGAAACATCTAGCAAAATCAGCTAAAAAACTATTACAGCTATTAAGCTGACCTTACATGTGATCACGACATAAAAACCAGTTATTTTCTTGTATAGCTGCAATAACCTGTTAGAAAATGTAGTGTCAGCATTATCAGTAAAATCAATAAGTGCCTAGGGATATTTTAAAAGATTTTCTATGTATAAAATTTCAAACTGCACAAACACACAGAAGACAGTGAGCAGTCTCTAGCATTTGGCCTTGTTGTCCACACCTGGGTTGTCTTGGAGCAGGTATTTCAGTAGAGATCTTAAAAGATAAGGACTCTTTGAAAAACAAACCACAATATCAGACTTAAAAAGGCAGTTATAATTTCTTTATACCACCAGAGTACCTAGAAATAAACAACAGAAAAGTGAGTGTTCCTTGTTAATGTGCAGGGAACTATAAAACTGATGAAAGAGGTTAAAAATTAAGTTCATGGAGAAACTCATTATTTGTCTGAGTGAGAAGCTCCATTACTTTATTTTCCCCATATTTGCCTATAAATTCAGAACAGTTCCCATCAAGATCCTAGCAGTACTTCTGTGTAACTGCGGGTTCTGAAGTCAGGGTGGAGGTGGAGACCCTCAGAGTTGTAGTGGGGATTGTGCCCAACTCGGCCGTGGGGGGATGCCCGAGCATGGGACGTGGCCGCCTGAGGGGACACTCACTCAGGTGCGCTGAGGCGGTTAATGAATGGGGCAGGGAGTCTGTGATGTGTGGATAAAGTTCAATTGTGAGACTGGGGTTTTAGATCAGTGGTTAAGAGGGACTGGAACAGTTGACAAGTGTTTTGGGAAAAGGCAGGCCTGCACTTGCATCAGGGCATGTGACAAACGCTGGCTCCATCCCAGTGTCAGGAGAGTGATGCCGACCACACACCCCAGAAGATATTAACCCACTGAACCGCACGCGGTGCAGGGTCGATTTTTGAGTAGGTGAAACATACCTTACTGTGCCTAGTATTTTTAAAAATGAATTCCAGAAGACTTAAAGTGTCAGTACAAAACATTCAACTATGAGTGAAAATACTGGAAACTGTTTTTTCCAATCTGTAATGAGGAAGTTCTTCTAGTGTTAAGACACAAACTCAGAAGCCATGAAGGAAAAGATGGACACACCTGTGACTTGTTCAGATAAAATTCAAAAGTTTTATGTAGTGAGAGATATTAGAGACAAAGCTTTAAAAACTTGATAGGAGAACAGCGGTCTCGCCATATTGCCCAGGCTGGTCTTGAACTCCTGGTCTCAAGCGATCTGCTCACCTCACCTTCCAAAGTGTTGGGATTACAAGTGTGAGCCATCGTGGCCATAGAATACACCATTGATGTGAAGTTGTATGGGTGCCTCTCCACTGGGAAATGCAGAGAAGCGTGGAACACCCCAGCAAGAACAACCCCATGCTGCCTCAGGGAGTGCTGGGCACAGCCGGGCGGAGACTCACGCATGTTTCAGTGTCTTTTGCACTGAACATCTATTTGTGTATTGCCTGTGCTTATAGAAAAGATAAATACAGCAGAAAAAATAAGGTGTATCTGTTCAGAAGTGGAAAGAATTCCAGAACATATTTTTAACTAGAAGAAAGTAATAATCACGGAACTGCTCAGTGTCCTGCCTTCTGTGCAGACTAGAAACACACTCGTCTGTGGCCCACGTCTGCCTGGACGTTCACGGGAAGGAGGCGTGGGCAGCTTAGCCATGGTGGCTCCGGGGTTGGACTGGGATCGTGGGTATGTGGGGGCAGGTCTCACACTGTGTATTGTTCTGTGGCCTCTGAAAACCTTTTTATGATTGTTCTATGTGTTTTGTGGCCTGTTTATCGAATTCTCTGTCTCATAACATACCTTGAGCACCTGACCCTCACTAGTGCAGCACCCAGTGGGTGAGCCCTTGCCTGAGGCTGCAGCAGTGCAGCCACACTCCAGTCCCTGTGTGGAGACAGGACCAGGGAGCAGGAGTGGAAGTCCAGAGTGTGTCTCTGGCCCTGCCTGGACCCCACACACTAGCCAGGCCTGGAGCAGGCAGGCGTCCCCACCCGCGAGCATCTCTGGCGTGTGCCAACAGCGCGTGTTTCGAAGTTTGTTTTGGATCCGTCATCTGCCACTAAAGGATGTAATTGGTCTCTGTTTTCTGTTTGGGTTCCTGCTTCGACTGTGTGGCTGATCAGATGGACGGGGAGTCTGAGGAGGAGCAGGAGTCGGCCGACAGCGGCGAGGAGGAGGAAGGCGGCGACGAGTCTGACCTGGTAATCCCCGCGCCTCCTTCCACGTCTGCGCTGAACTAGAGGAGACGCAGAGAACCAGCACCCTTCAGTCCTTTACCCAGCCCTGGCCTGAGCACTTCACACAAGTGCTTGGAGCTGGTCATGGCGATGGCCACAGATGGTCCTGTCCCTGGCAAAGCCTCCTGAGAAAGATGCTGTGCAGAGTTGCAGCACAGGGCCAGGCCTGGCACGGGGCTGCCCCCACTGCATGCTGGGCGGGTGGAATTGAAGGGCCTGTGGACACTCTCGGAGGAAAGGCCGTAGAGGGAGCCGCTGTAGCAAGGACAGCTGTTTGGGACTCTGCTGCACTGGCTGATGTGCAAGAAGCAAGGGCTGGATTTGAGGTGTTTCGAGGTAGAATGGACAGAACTTTTTGGTGGCGAGGACGGGAGGGAAGAGTGGTTCCGCTGTGTCCGTACTGATGCCTGTTATTCCTGGAGGAGGGTCCAGATCAGAGTCGTGCAGCCTGGTCTGCAGGAACTGGGGCTTGGAAATGGGGAAGAGCAATGAGTCACTAGGATGGAGCCTCAGGAAACCCCCAGCTTCTGAGGGTTCCATAGGGGAAGAGAAGTTGGCTCATGTGTCTGAGGAAGAGCTCTGTGCCGTGGGGAGAAGCTCGGCAAGTTGGGGTCACACAAACTGGGAAACGGTCAGCAGTAGGAGAAGTGGCCCATGGTGTGACCCTGGCACACCAGTGAGCGGGAGGAGGACTTGGAGGGGCCGTGGTGTTTGACGACGGAGGTGTCTGTCTTTGCGGGGGGCGGGCAGTGGGGCAGCTAGATTTCCAGCAGCAGCGACTTTGGGTGCAGCACTTGCACATGTTCTCAAAAGTTTTGCTGTGCGGGGAGCACCAGGGAGCCAGGGCTGTGTGTGCCGCAGTGTTCCCAGTACCGTCCTCACAGGGGACCCAACTCGCGACAGAAGGCTGCCCAGCAACAGAGCTTGTGCAGGAACACGTTCGGGGGGTCGGCAAGGCCCGCATGCTGCCGCTGTGCCTGCCTTAAGTGTCCCTCTGTCCGCTGGAAGCAGGCACTGTGGCCTTCATGTGGCCTCCTGTGGAAGGCAGGGGCACCTGCTCTGCATCCGTGTGGGACGTGTGGCATGGATGCCCTTCCTGCACCCAGACTTCAAAAGCAGGTGCTTAAAACACATCTTGAAATATTACAAGTTACTTATAACGTCCGCCTTGTTCTCTCTGTAGATCATTGATGTGGGTATAGATTCTGAAGCAGATTACGTATTCGTTGTTATTTCTTGTGAGATGAACGGACGCTGACGAGCAGCCATGGATCCTTTCCCTAGGCTTCTTTATTTAGTTCCTGACTAGAACTTTCCAATTTACTTATTCTTTTCTTTTGTGTCAAATTCAAAGAAGATGTATAAAGTTCATTTTAATTTTGTTTTTGTTTTTGTGTTGCCTCTAAAGGGACTGAGCTTAGAGAGGTGCTTAGGAGAAAGCACAGGGTGCCTTTAAGCATGTGACCCAGGAAAATGTCTACAAGCTAAATTTGCCGTTTAATTGGAGATGAAGACATAGCCAGTGTTTTGTTTTGCAGGGAAACAACACTTGTAGTGCTCTTGCCTTCCCTAGCTTCCTATGCTCAGTGATTTATATACCTGCCCGTTTGGTTCTCCAGAGTTCTGAATCCAGCATCAAGAAGAAATTTCTCAAAAGGAGAGGGAAGACCGACAGTCCCTGGATCAAGCCAGCCAGGAAGAGGAGGCGGAGAAGTAGAAAGAAGCCCAGCAGTGCACTCGGTAAACACAGAGGGCATGTGGGCTCTACCCCCATCTTGTGGGGCTGTCTCGGGGACTGCCTGGGAGGGGCATGGGGCCAGGAGGCGAGGCCCATCTGGGGTTGGGGTAGATAGGATTTCATCTGAAAAGAGGGCTCCACTGTTTTAAAAAATGTTCAAAATGACTTTGTTAGAGAGACTCCGGTGACCGTGAAGTAGTTCCTTCTGGAAGATGCAGTAGACATTGACTTCGTTGTTGTTGCTTTTAAATTTTTATATATTTATTTTTGAGGCAGGATCTGGTTCTGTTGCCCAGGCTGGGGTGCAGTGGCATGATCTCAGCTCATTGCAGCCTCCACCTTCTGGGTTCAGGCGGTCCTCCCACCTCAGCTCCCCAAGTAACTGGGAATATAGGCATGTGCCATCATGCCTGGCTTATTTGTTTGTATTTTTTAGGTAGACATGGGGCTTTGCTATGTGGCCAGGCTGGTCCCAAACTCCTGAGCTCGAGCGTTCTGCCTGCTTTGGCTTCCCAAAGTGCTGGGATTACAGGCATGTGCCACTGCGCCCGGCCCCGACTTCACTGTTGAAGGTGAATCGTTTGCTGCCTGCATGGGTGATTGGAAGCTGTGGCCTGCACGGACGGCTTCCACGTGGTGTGCAGGAAATGGCCCTCAGAGAGCCACCTGCGCCTCAGTCAGAGTCTCCTGTGAATCACAAGTGAATGTGGGAAGGAAATCTCCTCAAACCCCAATGGGATGCAGCAGGTTTAGGGTGCCAAGGCCGTTTTTTTTTTTTTTTCTTTCCTTTCCAGCTTAACTGAAGTACAGTTGGCATACAATAAAATGTACAGAAATAAATCACAAAATTTGACGAGTTTTAATGTGTTTATGACCTTGAATCCATCAGCACAGTCAGCTGATCAGTGCCGTGAGTGCCTCTTGTCTCCCCAGGTCCCTCCTGCTCCTTGATAACCCGGCCCCTTCCCTGCCCCCCTTCCCTGCCTCCAGGCAGCCGTTGGTCTGCTCTGTGTCTGATTATTCGTTAGTGCTCTGTAGAATTATCTAGACAGAATTGTGCAGTTTTTTTCATCTGGCTTCTCTAGGCATAATTGTTTGGAGTTGCTGGGCTGTCATATGACCAGGAGTTTGTTTCTCTCCATTGCTGAAAATTGTCCCATTGTGTGGCTGCCCCACAGTCTGTCTGTCCATGGGCTTTGGGCTTTTTCCAGCCTTGGGCTGTTAGAAACTAAGTGGCTGTGAACATTTATGTGTAAGTCTTTTTGAACAGGTGCCTTCTTAGATGTTGGCTGGCTCTCTGGGAGCAGAATGGCTGAATAGAGTGGTGTGTGTTCAGCTCTTCAGGAAGCTGCCAAGCTGGTTTCTAAGCACTCGTCCTGTTTTAGATCTCCACAACAGCGCCTGAGCATTCCAGTTCCCCTGTGTCCTTGTCAGCACTTGTTAGGGTTGGTCTTTTTAATTTCAGTGGCTCTCCGGATGTGCAGTGGTGTTTCATTGTAGTTTCAGTTTGCTTTTACCTAATGAGTAATGAGATTGTACATTTTAGTGTTCATTTATTTTCTTTTGAAACCTGTCTATTCACATCTTTGCGTACTTTAAAATCTGGTGGTTTTTCTTCTTACTGGTTGAAAAGAGCTTTTTAAATATTCTGGATGTTTTGCATGTATTTGTAACTCGTCTCTGACTTGCGTTTTCATTTTCTTAATGCTACATTTAGAAGAGCAGAAGTTTTTAAAATTTCCTTGAAGTCTAAGTTATGAATTATTGTACTTCATGGTTCCTACTTTTGTGCTCTAAGAAATCTCTGACAGACCCTGTCACGGAGGTTTTGCCCTGTGTTTTCTTCTTGACGTTTTGTAGGTCGAGCGCCGCATGCCGGTTCATCCTGCACTCAGGTTTGAGGGAGCTGTGGTGCAGGCCTCTTCTTTGCACTGGGTGTGCAGTTGCCATCGGTACTGCTGGCTGAATTGACTTTTCTCCTCCTGTTGACAGTCAGTGTGGGGCTGTTCCGGGACGTTCCAGTCTGCTTCATTTATTTATTTGTTTATCCTTATACCAGTGTCACAGAGCGGCAGCACTAGGCTCTTTTTCACAGTGATTTTGGCTAATCTAGATTTCCCAGTGTAGAGTGGGTGTGTCAACTGGCAGTCCCTTCCTGAAACAGAGGGTTGCGTGAGGCCTGGGGTGTGAGGCAGTCACCGTGGGGGCTCCTGGAGTTTGAGGGTGGAGGATGTGAGTGCCCCTCCCCGCCCCGGGAGCTGTGTGTGCTCCTTCGGTTATGTTTCTTTTCACCTCAGTTTATTGATTCAGATCATAACACCAGATGTGGCTTTTACTGTTGGCCAACAAAAGCATGTGTAGAGCCAAGGCTAAAAGTTGTTCATCTTTGTCATCTTGGCTATAATGTGCAAAATGTGTGCCTTTAAATATTCACATAGGAGTTTGAATTTTATTTCTTTATGATTTTTTTTTAAATCTTTTTGTTTAAAACGATATGAAGAGTATTCCTGTTCTTCAAGTTGATGATGGTGCTTTCTCAGAGGTGGTTGACTTTTACTGTCTGTCTAAGATCTAGGTGGAGCATGTGGCTTGAATTAAAAGACTCGTTACCATACCTTTTTACTAGTGTTCATTTGTGGAAATAAGTGTCATTGAAGCAAACCCCTCTTTACTAGTGTTCATCTGTGGAAATAAGTGTCATTGAAGCAAACCCCTCTTTACTAGCATTCATTCGTGGAAATACGTGTCATTGAAGCAAACCCCTCTTTACTAGCGTTCATTCGTGGAAATAAGTGTCATTGAAGCAAACCCCTCTTTACTAGCGTTCATTCGTGGAAATAAGTGTCATTGAAGCAAACCCCTCTTTACTAGCGTTCATTCGTGGAAATAAGTGTCATTGAAGCAAACCCCCAGAAGCTTGGCTGTGAAATGTGGGCATCCACCCTTTGCCGGACTTAGGTATTACTGGTGTAGGCGCGTACTTTCACAGGCCTCCACAGTGAAATACCCTTGTGATTACAAACACCCAATCTTGTACATCTTCCTCCTGCCCTCCTGGGAAGTGTGGACACGCTGTCCTGGCCACCACTCATGTGTCCTTGAGGGCAGAGGAACCCACAGAATTGTTTGCGCCCGCTGCTGCCCTTGCTGCCAGCCCAGGGGTGCCAGTTCTCGCAGCACCCCAGCTCCTTCTGTGGGTGTCATGAGCCTACCGTGTCTACTGGGGTTGACACCGAGCCTTTCCGGGGGCCTCCCTGGGTGCCAGTGCCTTCCCTCTGACACAGATTTCACCACAACACAGCCCCTTGGGCCATCTCTTTAGCTACTTTACATCTGATCTTTCAAATCCATACGTTAGATTTTTCTGTTTTATTTAAAAATAATCCACAACATAGGAGTACCATGTTTTTTTCTATTTCTTTGATTATTTGATAGCTTTTATGAAGTTGGTATAGTCACAGAGAAAGATGTACTGACACGTTGATGCCTTTGTTTCTGTCTGCACAGCGTCTCTCCTCCCCCATGAATATTATGTCTAAAAGGGGGAATCAGCAAAATAATATGTGGGAGAGAAATAGTGAAACCGGAAGCTGGGGCGGCCTAGACAGTAGTGGGTTTCAGCTTGTGGTTTTGAATGGATTAATTTGCAGCAGTCCGTTTCCTGGGGCCTCAGCCTGGCTGCCCTGTGGCGTCTGGGTGGGTGCGGCCGCCCGGGCACGTGGTGTCTGATGTGTGTGCGTTTCGTGCCTAGGTTCTGAGCCGTATAAGTCATCTTCAGGAAGCACTGAACAGACAGCACCGGGAGACAGCACGGGGTACATGGAAGTTTCTCTGGACTCCCTGGATCTCCGCGTCAAAGGAATTCTGTCCTCACAAGCAGAAGGTGAACGCGGTGTTGTAACTGAGACCAGGCACCATCTTGGTCCTTTGTGTCCAGGGCACTGTCCTCTCTATTGGCACGATGCCCCCGGTGGAGCCTAGTAGAAGATCAGGTTAAATGCCTCTCTTCCAGGTGAGGTGTAGACAGGACAGGGTGTGTTTGCCGTGTCACGGTGTGCAAGTGAAGAAACAGAAATTACAGAAACCCTCCAAGAGCAAACTGCAAAGCCCAAGCGAGTCCTGGCCATGGTTGTCTGTCTCCCATCGTGGGTCAGGCGCGCTCTGTGGAGGATCGCTCGTGGCCAGGCGCCCTTCGTCCCCGGTGGCGGCTCAGCACACAGGGATGGACTATTGAATAAGGTGTCTCTGGTGGTCTCTGACTGGCTGAAACATGTCCCTGGGCAGTGTTGAGCTGGGAGTTCAGAAGATATATTCTGTGATGGAATATTCGAACTTTGTGTATTTTTGTGCCTCTAAGTCACAGGTGCATCAGGAGCTTCTCTTGGGAGTTCTTGTGCTAGAAGTTGTCAGTTCTCACACTTTCTCTCAGTTTTTTCTCATTTTAAGCCACTTAGAAACCTTCTATCAGTGAAGAGTAGCTAAAAGCTGTTTGATTATTTGGGAAGATGTATTTGAAGCATGGTGTGGAGGAAATGAAAAGCTTCTGTTTACATTCCACACAGATCTTGCTGGTGTGGCATTACAGACAGCTGGAGAGGTTTAGTGGGCCATTTTAAATGACAAATTAACTAGCTTTTTAAGGTTTTGAACACTGAGGAAGGTTTGAGTCATGTATGTAACTCACCTAGGAAATCACATCTTTAGCTGAAGATAGAAACCCTAACCTTGTCCGTCAGGCAAACGACGATTTGTTTTCCTCTTGCACCAAATGGAGCAGAAACCTCCCTGAAGTATCACGAAGTCCTCAGCACAGTCACCCCACACTTTCTTTGTGGATTAAGTATAACACGGAGTGTTTCAGTTTTCTGAACTTGCTTTTCGAGCTAGAGGTGTCAGGAAGTTACCTGGTTTTACGTAGGAAGTAGTATTTCATTGTATCTAGTCGACTCCTGCTGTGGCGGCCTTGGGCGTGCTGAGTGGCAGGAGACAGAGGAGTTGGCACGTGAGGGCTCTGCCACCTGTCGGCGTTCACCTCCCGCCTTTGGCAAAAGGGAGGAGACTGGCCGTAGGGGACGGATGGTGCTGGGCTCAGGGCCAGGATGGCGAGCTCCAACACGGAATCGGAGGAGGGACAGCAGCTAGTAGGGGCCCCTCATCTTGCATGACACTTTACACATCGGCCCCCCAACATTTATTTACCTGTGTTTGATCAGCACCAATTGGTCAGTCAGTGATTGGCCCCTTCAGTTGTGTTCTTGGTGTAGAGAATCAGCATGTGGAAGAGACAGGCGGTGTCACCCCCTGTGTTGGTGCTGGCCGTGTGGCTCAGGACCCCAGAGGGAGCAGTGGTCAAGTGGCACTGGACAGGAGGGCAGGAGCCGGGGCCCTGGGAGACCTGGGTGGTGTGCGGCTCAGATGAGACAGGCCTGTGCAGTGTGCTGAGCGGCCGGTGGGGGCAGGTGGTGCCTGTGGTTGTGGCTCATGGGCTCGGGTCCAGGCTTGAGCCTTGGGCCAAGGAGAGAATATGAAGATGGGAAGTCCTCTCCATATGCATTTGTCGCTTTCCCCGTTGCCTTGCTCTTGGGCCTGCCGAATTGAGCCTGAGTATGTAACCCAGCAGCAGTAGGAGGCCAAGGGTCTGAGCCTGGGAGAGGCCAGGAGCCCATAACTATGGCAATGTTATGGGGAGGGAGAGACAGAGCTTGGTGGAGGTTGATTGCTTGAGGATTTCTTAAATCATTTCATTTGATGTTCCTGGCAGTCCCTCACTGTGGGAACAGAAGCACCCCATGTCCACGGTGGTATCTGAGCGGCTGCAGTGTCATCCCAGCGTGTCGGCCCTGGGTTTTCACCTGCCTCATCACAGCCTCCCGGCCACCGTCGGCCGGCACTGTGTTAGAAAGTTATCTCACAGCCTTGGGTGGTTTGTGTCTGTTTTCTCCTTTTTAAAATCAGGTTGTCGGGCAGGATCATCTCAGAGGCCTGCCCAGCTTTAAACGTGTAGTGATTCGAATTCAAGTTCACTTCATCGTTCTCCTGGTCTTTAGGGGTACGGGTGATCCAGAGGTGAGGGTGGGACCTTGGGCAGCCCGTGATTAGGACATGCCTCTGTGCCGGAGTCGGTGACATCGGGAGGCTGCCTTCCTGCATAGAGAGACCCGTGGATGGCAGTGCGTGATTCACATGCTCATCGGCTCTTTGCACAGATGTGGATTCTCTTCTGGCTGTGACCAGTATCAGAATACAGACGGGCTAGAGACCAACAGAAGTGACCGTGGGTGACTCAGCCTGGGTGTTGTTAAAAGATGAACGAAGGCACAACACAGTTTTTAAAGGGTTTCCTTGAGCAGCGATTTATGAACTGGGCAGCTCCAAACCAGAAGCATGGTGGGAGCCGCACTGAGGAAACACAAGGGGAAGGCTTTCAGGGTGGACACGGAAGCCAAGCCCAGAAAGCACCGATTGGTTCATGGCGCACTTGCATCATTTGTTCCGTCCTGCTGGAAAGACCCTAGTGACAGAGATGGGTTGGCTGCTTCTCAGTGGTAGAGCTTAAGTCTTACTTTTCTTTGTTAGAGGCATTTGCAAGAAGTAGCCCAAGATTGCCTTTGTTTTCAAATCAGGCAAGGTCAAGATGGCTTCCTTGGCTCAACTGGCCTTGTCTGTTCATGGATTCTTTAGCCCTGGTCTCTCTTTTAATATATTTCAACAGCGTGTTTTTAGATGTGAAAACAAGAGTTAATTATTTTTAATTCAGAGTTAATAGTGAGTATTTGAGATGCCGGCTCACCTTCTATTTCTGCTTTGACTGTTTAACAAGAAAGAAAATGTGAATTGTGATCTGGCTTCCTTTGGGAGCAGCACCCACTGTAGCCCCTTGCCACACTTGAGGGTCTTCCTGGCGGCTGCCTCCACCCTGCCTCTGCCACTCAACAGCCTTGGCCTTGCTGGTCTCTCCTGCGCTGGGCTGGGGGCAGGGTGTGGGGGCAGCAGCCCTGGCTATGCTGGGACGGGCCCAAGGCCGCCTGTTGACCACAGCTCCGCTGCAGCCTGCCCTGTGGACGACGCGGTCACTGTCAGACACATGTTGAGCTCTCATTCTCCTCTAGTTTATCTTTCCTCCTTCAGCCTGATAAATGGGCTCTGTGGACTATTGCAGTAGGTGAGTGGAACTATAGATAATAGATGAACCGTTATTAAACCCTTCCAAACTGATTATTTATTTATTTTTTTGGTGGCTGCCATTTTAAAACCAAGTAGGAAAACAAGATCTTAAAGGGTAATTAATGCACTTTTGTTGGAAAACCAAAAGATTTAGGAGCTGCTGCCAGAGGTACCAGCCTCTGGCTTTGGGTCCTGAGAACCTGAGAACACAGATTAACAGGTGCCTTTTGAGACCCTGGCAGGGGGGTTGTTAGTTGAGGAGGTATAGGCCACTCCTTCATGTTGCTCAGGTGGTGGCCGTCCGTGGGCCTGTGGGCACTGCCCAGCCCCACAGCCACCCCACCACCTCCCACCCCCCTTGCAGGGGTGTTTGTGCCTAGGTAATCAACTGCATTGCTTTTATTTCCTGGCGTGGGAGAGCACTATTGAGACTCTATAATCGATTGCTTTCTAGATGATTCTTTTGAGGTCAGGACTGCCTGAGCTGACATGTGTCTGTGTGATGTTAGGGTTGGCTAACGGTCCGGACGTGCTGGAGACAGATGGCCTCCAGGAAGTGCCTCTCTGCAGCTGCCGGATGGAAACGCCGAAGAGCCGAGAGATCACCACTCTGGCCAACAACCAGTGCATGGCTACCGAGAGCGTGGACCATGAAGTAAGCACGTTTGTTTTCATTTAAAGCAGCCACGAGAAACGGGTGAGAAAGCCCAGCCCAGCTGCGGCCCCCCAGACCCCTCCAGTGAGTTGTGCCACATGACCAGGGAGGGAGCCTAAGTGGCTTCTGCACAAAAGCAGCCGAGCAGGTCCCGATACTGAAATCCCAGGAGAGCTTATTAAAAAAGACGATTGTGTAGACACGTTTTTTGAATGAAAATGTCCTGTTGTGGCCGGGCATGGTGGCTCACACCTGTAATCCCAGCACTTTGGGAGGTCGAGGTGGGTGGATCATGAGGTCAGGAGATGGAGACCAGCCTGGCCAACATGGTGAAACCCTGTCTCTACTAAAAATACAAAAATTAGCCAGGTGTGGTGACACACGCCTGTAGTCCCAGCTCCTCGGGAGGCTGAGGCAGGAGAACTGCTGGAACCCGGGAGGCGGAGGTTGCAGCGTTTCGAGATGGTGCCATTGCACTCCGGCCTGGGGACAGAGCAAGACTGTCACTAAAAAAAAGAAAATGGCCTGTTGTGTTTGTCTTTTATCTTTTATGACCATGGTTTTGTGAAGGTTTTTCCTACCTTGCAGTAAACTAAGTGGGTAGATTGAGGCAAGAGAGTCACACCAAGGTGTGCCCAGAACTGTGGTTCCCGGCAGGCCAGGCCTTGGCCACTTCCCTACCGTCACCAGGGATCACGGACTCAGAGGGTTCACCGTGTCCCGTCCCTGCTGCCCCTGGAACAGGAGAGGGGGAACAGGCAGAGCCATGGCGAGGGGCCAAGCAGGAGGGTTGTTGGCCCCAGACCCTGAGAGGCACCACACGCAGTCACACTGCTAGGGTGTCTGGCTGCCCCAGGCTTGCATTTGCTGCAGGCCAAAGTCAGCACATGGGCATGGGTGTCAGCCTGTTGCTCCATTGAGTTTCCTGATCTTTTTGGCCAGTGGAGCCATCTTCAACTCGATTATTGAGTCTTAGCTGCACGTTTTAGAAATTAATGAACTATGAACAGGAGCAGCCATTCATGTAGCAATGCCAGGCATCACTCCAAGCCTTTGTGTAGGTAGCTCTTCCAGGCTTCGTGGCAGCCTGTGCAGCATAGACTGTTGCCCAGGTTGTACAGTGAGGCCTGTGAGAGAGGCCATGTGGCACGCCAGACTCACCGCCCACTGTGGAGAAGGCAGGAATGGAGCCTCATTCCAAAGGTGGAGCCCCACCACTGTGTCGGGGAGCACAGGCAGCAGCCGGGTGGAGCGGGCAGGGCCCTGGAACAGGCCAGCCACGTTAGCCCATGGCCCTCACCCTGGCGCCTGTGAGCGTGGCCGGGGTTTCTGATTTAGTAGGTCTGGCCTGGCTGGGAGTTTACTTTTCTAAAGTGTTCCCAGTTTCCCCTGATGCTTCTGGTCTAGGGACCACACTTTGAGGACCACTGGTTCCCCTCCTCTTCTCCTTCCCCATAGGTGTGAGGCAGGATCCGATGGAGGCAAGTCCGTGTGACACGTGCTTCCCTGTGACTTTACTGTCTGTACGTCCACGTTTCCAGTTCACGTGCTTTTCTTAGACTCCGAAACTGGCGCTGCTTCTGTCTTGTCCCAGCCTGGCGAGGCGACATGTGCTTCAGCAGCTCTCATCTGCACACGTGTGCCCGGCGGGCTCCCCGTGTGATGGCTTCTCCCACCTCTGAATGTTCGTGTCACTCGCCACATGTTCTGCCGCACTCGGCTCTCCGCAGAGCCTCTCGTTTGCCTTAAAAGAACGTTTTGTCGTGAAAAGTGAGGGCGCGGTTAGCCCTCGGAGCTCTCGGCTCAGGCTCCTCCGTCACCGGCGTGCTCTCCCCCACCTCCTTTCTTGGTTTTGAACTACTTACTATTTTAAAGCAAACCCCCTTTTACTACTGAATAGTGCAGTATATTTCTATTAAGACAAAAAGTGACCATTTTCTCACGTAACAGCAATGCATTTTCACATGTAACAAAAATAACAATTTCCTATTATTATTTGGTGCCCATTCCATGGTCAAAGGTCTGTTAACAAAATGCCTTTTCCTTTTTATTCCTCTTTCTAATTGGATCCAGACTGGTTCCACTCATTAGATCAATCTGCTGCAATGTCTCTTAGGTTTTTTGTGTTTTTTAATCCAAACATTCTGTCTGTCCTGCCTGTTCCCATTTGCCACACTGTTGACTGAGAGAATCTGGATTCCAGATTCTGGATTTAGCTTGTAACTTTCTTGTGTTGTTAAGTCATTTGCCTTAATTCCTATAGCCTGAAAGTTAGATCTGAAGCCTTGGTTTACATGTAAGTACCTCAGATTTTTACTTTATGATTTAATTCTGGCGAAAACGCTCTGGAGGTTCATGTGCTGGGAGTGTTGCCAAGAAGGCTCTGGATTCCTGAGGCGGCCTCCTGTCTTCCCAAAAGTGCACTGTCCTTGGTGACCACTGCCTGCACCCATTGTTTCATTCAGAGTTGCAGGATGGTGATTCTGCCGTGCTGTCGTTCCTCCGGCAAGCACAGGCTGGAATTTTTTGGTACGGAAAACTTCCCCACATCTGCTAGGGCTGTTGTACCTCTGAAACCAGCTTCAGCTGGATTGGCAGAATAAACAGCTGCTTGTTAGTGAACGGGTGCTCTAACAACCTCTAGTGACATCCAGAGGGCTTGATTTTGCTTCTCCCTGTCCCCTCTCCACCTGCCTTTCTCCCGTCGCATCCTTAACGACTCATGGTCTTCTCTGAATTCAATGTGTGCTAAGTTTTCTTGTTGAAAATTAAACACAAGTCCCTCAATTTTTGAAGGACGGGGTCTTGCCCTGTTGCCCAGGCCAGTTTTGAGCTCCTGGGCTCAAGTGATCCTTCTGCCTTATCCTTCTGCTCTGATTTTTTGGATAGAAAACTCAAAATAATAATTAAATTAAATTAAATGTGGATCCAGAAGACCATACAAAACAAACATTGAGCTGAACAAATCTGTCTCAGCTGAGCTCTGGTAAACACCACCAAGGTGGAAAAGTGGAGCCTGGGGCGCTCCCCCTGCCTGTCCCCGTGTGTGACCTGCCCCGCCCAGCGGCCTCCGTCGCGGCTCCCACGGCACCTGCTTTCTGTGTCAGTGTAGCTTCACCTGCAGCACTGCTGCCCATCTGTCCTTCAGTTTCTATATTGTTCATGGTCCCATGTTTTTTGTTAAGTGTATCTGTTGAACGACCCATGCCACTGGAAGCTTCAAGGCTCCCATCATCTGGAGTTCTGCGAATCCCACACTCAAGTTGCAATTCAGCAGGTTCCTCTGTGTTTCTTGCAAAACTTGGAAAGGCTGGGTGCAGTGGCTCATGCCTATAATTGCAGCACTTTGGCAGGCCGAGGAAGAAGGGTCACTCGAGTCCCGGAGCTCAAGATCAGCCTGGGCAACGTGGTGAAACCCCATCTCTTTAAAAAAAAAAATTAATTAATTTAGCAACCTTACAAGTTCGGCCCCTTTGTAGGACTCTGAGTGTGGGTGGTTTTAGCCCCAAATGAAGGGCCATGAGGTCTGGCTGTCTTTCCTTCTCCCATACTGGTAGCCACTGATGCTTACTACCTATATTTGTTGTTTATTTCATTGGAGGTTTCAAAGTGGTACTGCTTTTTATCGTTGATTATTCATTGTCCACTGGAGTGGTTTTACAGAGAGACATGCCTCAGACCAGGCACAAGTGGCTTATGCCTGTAATCCCAGCGCTTAGGGAGGCTGAAGCGGCAGATCACTTGAGCTTAGGAGTTTTGAGAGCAGCGTGGCCAACATGGGGGAACCCCATCTCTACTAAAAATGCAAAAATTAGCCGCCTACTGTGACACGCGCCTGTAGTCCCAGCTTCTTGGGAGGCTGAGGCAGGAGAATTGCTTGAGCCCGGGAGGTGAAGGTTGAAGTGAGCCTAGATCGCACCACTGCACTCCAACGTGGGCAGCAGAGAGACTCTGTCACAAAAAAACAAAAACAAACGAAACCTTACCCCCTGTTTCAAAGGTTGTGTTGTCCGATTTTAACACAGCTGCTCAACTTTCTTGTGCTAATGTTTGCATGGTACATCATTTTCTGCCCTTTTACTTTTAATCTGTCTCTATCTTTAAATTTAAAGTGGCTTTCTTGTAGACAGCATGTAGTTGGATTTGCTTTTTCAGTAAAGAACAATATTGCTTTATTTTATTTTTTGAGACAGGGTGTCACTTCGACATCCAGGCTGGAATGCAGCGACGCCCATTGCAGCTTTCACCTTTGGGGCTCAGGTGATTCTCCCGCGTGAGCCTCCCGAGTAGCTGGGACTACAGGCATGCAACACCACATCCAGCGAATTTTTTGCATTTTTATTTTGTAGAGATAGTGTCTCACTCTGTTGCCCAGGCTGGTCTCAAACTCCTGGGCTCAAGCTATCCACCCGCCTTGGCCTCCCAAAATGCTGGGTTTGTAAGTGTGAGCCACCGTACCCAACTGACTTTTATTTTTTAGGGGCAGCGTTTCACTCTGTGGCCCAGGCTGGAGTGCAGTGGTACAGTCATAGCTCAGTGCATGTTCAAACTCCTGCACTCGAGGGGATCCTCTGCCCTCAGCTTCTGGAGTAGCTGGGATTAGAGATGCACGCCACCACACCTGGTGGTTTTGCCCGCTTACCTAATAGAGCCATGTGCTGCCTGACAGTGTTTCAGCCCACGACAGACCATCCTATGGAGGTGGTCTGATAAGGTTATAGCACAGGTTGAGTACCAGAAGTGTTTTGGATTTCATTTTGGATTTTGGAATATTTGCATTATACTTACCAGTTGTGCATCCCAAATTAAAAAATTTGATACCTGAGCGTGGTGGCTCACACCCGTAATCCCAGCACTTTGGGAGGCTGACGTGGGTGGATGAGTCAGGAGTTCAAAACCAGCCTGGCCAACATGGGGAAACCCTGTCTCTACCAAAAATGCAAAAATTAGTCGGGTGTTGTAGCAAGAGCCTGTAATCCCAGCTACTCAGGAGGCTGAGG